GCCGAGCCCATTCAACAGATACTTAGTGAGAGTCTCCCACCTCTGTGGTCTTTCTTAGAGTGTGGTCTCCAAGGACAGTGTGGGTGTGGTGGACAGCCTGCAGGACAGACCTTTAACCTGGTTTTCCTGGCCTTACCTGTGCAGTGGCTTTGGGGGGCTTTGAACCCGGGGTGTCTCATGTGCACACACAGTGCACACTTGCATATGTAGGTGTATTTGTGAATGTACATGTTTGCCTGGGAAGACAGTCTGTGGTGCTTGATTGGATCAGGAATTCAAAAGAAGTGGAGAAACCCACCAGTGCTGTGGGTACCCTTGGTCATAGTTTGGTCAGATGTAGACCTGTGGGAGAAGGGATACAGTTAAACCAAGGAAATATTTACATTTGGGTAAGTTAATTAACTGATTTTGGGGTACTGTCTGTTTTCTGTATCCATCTAGGTGGCTGTGAATGGAAAACACATTCTGCTCTATGCCCACAGGATCAGCCTGGAGAAAATAGACACTCTGGGCATTTATGGCAAAGTGAACGTTCACTCAGTTGGTTTCAGCTTCAGCTCGGTGAGTGTCCTTCCACTCCTCGGGGCCTTTTTTGATGATGTTTTCTCATGAATTGGTAGAAAAAAACCTTTAATTAACACCTCTATTGAGATGAAAATAATGTACATATCCTCCTCATTAGACTATTAATTTTTTGGAAGTGAATTTTTCCAACTAGTAAGATGTTATTTATCAACCAAGGCTTTATTGCCTGTCTGTACACGATTTCAAATGGTCCTGGCAAAACAAACAAACACCGTTTAGCTAAGTAGTGGGTATTTCCTTTCCGAGAGAGTGCAGTGGAGTACTTCTGTGAGTCAGTTCCCTAGACATGGAATGTCTGAGTCAGAGGACAGTCACATGCCTCCTAATGACGTCTCAGTCAGATGCACCAGTGGTTCCGTAATGCTGGAGGACTGCGTTTTTATGACACTGTGCATTTCCTATGTTTGCATTTTAACCTTTGACAGATACCACTGCCTTGCCCTCCCAGCAGTCCTTTCTACGCAGTCCTACCTACCTGCGTCCTTTCTGATTGACAGTGGGGATCATTCTCTTTCTTATTTGCCAGTTCGATAGGCAGCAAAGGACCCACTGCTGAGTGCATTTCTGGATCATAATTTTCAAGTGTGTTTTCACATTTAGCACATCTGTAATTTCTTGATATGTCAAGTAGACTATATTTAGAAAAGGTGTTCTGATTTATGTTAAAAATTAATCTTTCTTGTCTTGTCTTCAGGATTTACAGAGTAACCAGTCATCTACTCTGGAACTGACAGCGATGAGCAAAGAAAATGTAAATATTCAATCTTTTAATGAACCACCAGTTAAAAAATGCCTCTTGGTTGCCATGTAAGTCCGGTGGCAGGAAGGCTGGTTTTTTAAAAAATTATATTTTTGCCATGAGGCTAGGATGGAAGGAATTGTTTGAAAATTGAGGCAGATACTTCTTTTTTTTGTAGAGACAGAGTCTCACTTTATCACCCTTGGTAGAGTGCTGTGGCATCACAGTTCATGGCAACCTCCAACTCCTGGACCTAGGTGATTCTCTTGCCTCAGCCTCCCGAGTAGCTGGGACTACAGGCACCCACCACAACACCCAGCTATATTTTTTGTTGCTGTTTGGCTGGGGTTGGTTTGAACCCGCCACCCTCCGTATATGGGGCGGGCATCCTACCCACTGAGCCACAGGCGCTGCCTGAGGCAGGTACTTCTTACCGTGTCTGGCACTTGCCAAGTTTTTGCTGTTGCTTACCCTGTCAGGTTCTGTGATAGGGTAACGCAACTCAGCATTCTCGTGTAAAATGATTAACTGGTGAATAGTGCTGGCAAGAAGTATGTAAAGCCCGGTGCAGTGGCTCACGCCTATAACCCCAGCACTCTGGAAGGTGGCAGCAGGCGGATTGCTTGAGCTCAGGAGTTCAAGACCAGCCTGAGCAAGACCAAGACCCTATCTCTCAAAATATCTGGGCGTTGTGGGAGGCACCTGTAGTCCCAGCTACTTAGGAGGCTGTGGCAAGAGGATCTCTTGAGCCCAAGAGTTTGAGGTTGCTGTGAGCTATGATGTCACGGCACTCTACCCAGGGCAACAAAATGAGACTCTGTCTCAAAAAAAACAGTATTGATAGACATTGAACATTGGTATATCAGCAAATGAGCTTCCAAGTGTACCTTCCAAATGAGCTTCCCCTGCCCTTGCCCTGTGGGAAGAAGTACCATTTAAAAATTTCATCTTTGGGCGGCACCTGTGGCTCAAAGGAGTAAGGCACCAGTTCCATATGCCAGACATCGCAGGTTCAAACCCAGCCCCTACTAAAAACTGCAAAAAAATTTCATCTTTGACGTTACTAAGGGAGAATGTGAAGTGAAGCCTGAGCACATGCACCCCTCACAGGTAGAACATAAGCCCAGCTCTTTGGGGTCCCCCTGGAAAGGACAAGTACGATGTGTTTGGAAGTCATTATAGTGGAGGAGAAAGGATTCAGCTGAGCAGGGCTGTCAGGCTCTATCCCGGACTTGAGTAGCCCTTTACAACCCCGCACCCTCCTGTCATAAAGCACTGCTGCCTGTACGTCTGTGGTCCCCAGTGGTCCCCAACCCCTGAGCTGTGGAGCAGTACTGGCTGCACAGCAGGTTTGAGCTCCGCCTCCTGTCAGAGGTCCCACTGCCCCTATCAGCAGAGAACTCGTTTTCTACGAAACTGGTCCCTGGTGGCAAAAAGATCGGGACTGTTATTGTCACACCCAGGGTGGAGCAGACAGTTACAGCCCACACAACAGGCTCAGCTCAAGCACAGCCAACCAGATAAAACTGCGTATGTTATAAAATGTCATTCTTCCCTTTCAGACATTCTCATACTTTCTTTCTCTTCCAATGGGTATAAAAGTCTGGTATGCCACACTTTTGAATAGTTTTGTCTGGGTGAAACATTTTGTAAAATTACATAGAAAATGAACAGTTTAGACCTTGCGGGCAGCTTCGCTCATTCCGTGCCTTACTGTAGAACTGTTTCCCCTACAGCCTAGTACTAGAGAAGGAGACTTACTTAAAATCATGCCCAGAACATTCTGCACCAAGAGCAAAGATGCAGCTGTCAGCCACAGTTTGACTTGCACCAAAATCCTACCTACCAACTGTTTGCCGAAGGTTTGAAGAGCCCCAGTTTTTCTGAACTCTGTATAAAATTTACCTTATTAGCTGTTACGTGTAACCTCTGACCCCAGTACGCCCAGAGCAGCCACTCAGCATTTGTGCACTGTCCCTGACAGATGCGTGAGTCCACCAGGCACAGGTCTCTAAGCCTTGGTGTGTCCTGCTCAGCTCCCCCAGCTGGGCTGTTTTCCCAGAGCAGAACACAGCCCTGTGTCAGACCCCAGGACAGCTGGCTTTCCCTGAGGGACTTTCACTCAAAGAGGCTATCAGGTCCCACCCTGAGTTCATTCATTTTGTATCTAAAACACAGTCATTGAGTGTTTGACATGAGCCAGGCTCAGCACTGCTTCAGGGGACGCAGCCGGGACACAGCTGGGACCAAGCCAGCCTTAGTCTGTCCCTTCAGTGGGGTTTACAGGGTAGGGTCATTGCTCTTAAACATTCCACGTGAGTTTTCCCACAAGACCCCTTTCTGCAGGCCTGCTAGTCCTGACTGTGGCTTTGTTCCAGACCCTGCCATTCATCGCAAGGTTAAACTCCCCGATGGGCCCCGGACGAACTGTTGTCATTAAAGGAGAAGTGAACACGACTGCCAAAGGGTCAGTACGCTTTCCAGTGCTCCTGTTGTGGCCTTAGACCCCTCACCTGCTTGTGAGATAGAAGTGGGGCTAGGGTCAGAATCCTCATTTACAAGATGAAAATATTAAAAAAAAGGAAGTTACACTGCCGACAACTGGTGGGTAGTGTCAGAGCCAACCTAAAGTCCAGTGTTTTGACCTAGGGTTTTCCTGACCAGGCGAGAGACCAGTATTTTTGTCCCTGAGGCCCACCCTTGCCTGCTGGAACTCCAGGGTAGCCTAGAAGGTCAGGCAGCACTTTTTAGGGCCCTTCTTGTCATATGACTTAGAAATTTTCTGCTTTAAGAACCTTTTCTAGAAATGTCCAGACTTCTGAATGCTGGAAATTAGAGCTTTTTCTAGAAAGTAGCATACTTCCAAGAAGGCAAGAACATGTGTAAATGATTTAGAGAGAATGCCTGCTTTAGAGGGTCCCGGATTCCTGTAGACTGAAAGGAACTGTTTGGTTCACTAGTGCTAATAAGCCTTCAATTTCTGCCCAACCAGATCCAGCCTCAGTGCTGATTTTAAAGTTTTTGTGTATTTTTATTTTGCAAGTAACTCAATACAGTGAATCTGCATCCCCATGTCCACGTACATACGTGTGTTTCATAGAGTTACAATCATGGTTCAAGTCTGGTTATTCAGGTTGCAGAAACTGACACTACTCTCTTCTGCTTGGTTCATGTGTTTTTCTGTTTTATCTCAAAAGGTTTAACGTTGATCTACTAGTAGGAAAGTCAAAGGATATCGCTCTACACTTGAACCCACGCCTGAATAGCAAAGCATTTGTAAGAAATTCTTTCCTTCAGGAGTCTTGGGGAGAAGAAGAGAGAAATATTACCTGCTTCCCATTTAGTCCTGGGATGTACTTTGAGGTGAGATTACAGTTTTGAAAATGGGAAAGGAAGAATAATTCTGGGAGCAGCGGTAGAGTAAGTGGGACATTTAAATCAGCTTACTCTGTGTGTATGTGTGTGGATTACATGTGGGTTCTTGTTTGTTTACGCAGACATTGTGATTGAATACCCCTTTTTAGAATGTAGGCCATTGATCTAAATGGAAGAGCCAGGAGACTACCACATTATTTGCGTTGGGATCATTTGACATTTGTCATTGATTAGTAAGAACCTTTTTTTAAAATCAAGCCTGTTGCTTGGTAAGATTAATTGGAATTTTAACAGAAACCTTGTCTCAGGGCTGGAGTAACGTGTTTCATCCTAAATAGACATGATGATGTGGAAACCCTAGAACTGCCTGCCTGTACTGCCTATCCTGTCCCATCCTGGTAGATGGTTTCAGGTGACAGTCTTTTTTCCAAGTAGTTAGTCCTGTTTGTATGTATCCAAGAAGAATCCATTAGTCCCTAGAAACTAAAAGGCACATAGGCCTCCTGAGTCCCCTAACGTGTGAATCTCATGATCACACTTACCTTTCCCAGCAGGTGTTTCTAGGATGCCGGGCAGACTTGACTCTCCCTGAGACGTGGGTGGTTGGCTTGACTCAAATCACGTAGGGGCATTGATTTAGGTTATTCTTTTAAACTGCCGTATCCTCTGGACCATTTGAGCTCACAAGGACTCACCATGCTATTTGTTAAAGGCATAAACTTCAAGGTTGAATGAAAGAGGTTAATTTGACATTGAACAGTCACATACCAATCGGCAGGGTCAGGGACTGACCCCACTGCCCCTTTGTCTTGCACGTTTGGTTGGGCAACTTAAGAAAACTGCCTCTGTGGGGTCAAGTGTGTGACTTTTTTTTTTAATTTTAGGGGGTACATGTTTTGTTTATATATTTGGGTTTGTACAGATGGAGTGTGCCCCCCCCCTCAGCTTGATTTTCATTGAGGTTTACTTCCATATGTGCACTTAAGTGTTTATTGATTAGTTCCAATTTGGTATTGATTACATGTGTTTGTTTCTCCATTCTTATGATTTTCACTTAGAAGAATGGTTTCTAGGGCGGTGCATGTGGCTTAAGGAGTAGGGTACCAGCCCCATATACCAGGGGTGTGGGTTCAAATCTGGCCCCAGCCAAAAACTGCAAAAAAAAAAAAAAAGAATGATTTCTAGTTCCATCCAGATTGTCACAAAAGATACTAGATTGCTCTGTGTGTGTGTGGTTTTTTTTTTTGGTTGTTTTTGCAGTTTTTGGCCGGGGCTGGGTTTGAACCTGCCACCTCCAGCATATGGGGCCGTCGCCTACTCCTTTCAGCCACAGGCGCCTCCCGATGTGTGTTTTTTTTACAGCTGGGTAGTACTCCATAGTGTACATACACCACATTTTAGTAATCCATTCACGTATTGTTGAATGGCACTTGAGTTGTTTCCACATCTTTGCAATTGTGCATTGTGCTGCTATGAACATTCAAGTGCAAATGTCCTTTTTATAAAATGACCTTTTTTCCTTTGGTACAAGTGGGATTGCTGAATCAAATGGTAGGTTATTTTCAGTACTTTGAGGTTCCTTCAGACGGTTTTCCATCGGGGTTGTACTAGTTTGCAGTCCCGCCAACAGTGTAGAGTTCCTTTCTCTCCACATCCACACCAGCATCTGTTGTTTTGGGACATTGTAGTATGAACCATTCTCATTGAATCTCATTGCAGGTAGGTGATACCTCATTATAGTTTTTTTTTTTTTGGAGATAGTCTCACTTTGTCACCTTTAGTAGAGAGCTGTGGCATCACAGCTCCCAGCAACTTCAAACTCTTGGGCTCAAGCAATTCTCTTGCCTCAGCCTCCGGAGTAGCTGGGACTACAGGCACATGGCTATTTTTAGAGACAAAGTCTCGCTCTGGCTCAGACTGATCTTGAACCTATGAGCTCAGGCAATCCACCCACCTCGGCCTCCCAGAGTGCTGGGATTATAGGTGTGAGCCAGTGTGCCTGGCCGTCTCATAGTTTTGATTTGCATTTCCCTAATGATTGGAGATATTGAACATTTTTTCATCACTGTATTGGCCATTAGGATATCCTCATTTGAAAAGTTCCCCTTCATGTCTTCTGCCCACCCTTTAATAGGGTTGTTTGGTTGTTGCTGTTTTGCTTGAGTTCTTTGTAGATTCTGGTTATCAGTATAGCATGCAGATTATTTTCTCCAATATGGTTGAATTCCTTATAGATTCTGTAAGCATGTAAGTTTCTTTTTTCCTTTTAAGGCAATCTCTTTCTGTCACCCTGGGTAGAGTGCCGTAGCGTCATAGCTCACAGCAATCTCAAACTCTTGGGCTTGAGCAATCCTCTGCCTCACCTTCCCAAGTGGCTGGGACTATAGGTGCCTGCCACTATACCTGACTGGTTTTCATTTTTTAGTAGAGATGGGTCTTAACTCCTGCTCAGGCTGGGTATGCAAATACTTTCTCCCATTTTATGGGTTATTTATTTACCCTTTTGTCTTGTCTTTGGTTGTACAGAAATTTTTTAATTGGATTAGTTCCCATTTATTTTTGTTACTGTTGGGGTCTTCTTAATGAATTCTTTGCCCAAGCCAGTACTTGTAAGAGTTTTTCTGACACCTCTAGGATTCTTATAGTTTTCTGCCTTATTTTATATTTATATTATTATATATACTTATATTCTTATAGTTTTCTGCCTTATTTCTTTTATCCATCATGAATTGATTTTTGTGAGTGGTAAGAGGTGCAGATCCTGTTTCAGTCTTTTACATGTGGCTATCCAGTTTTACTGGCAAATTTATTGAACAGGGATTTTTTTCCCTAGCGCATGTGTTTATATGTTTTGTCAAAAATCACATGGGAATCTGAGGCACTCCTGTAAGCAGTAAGGTGCAAACAGGAAGTAACTTACAGAGGAAAACTGATCAGACTAATTGCTGACTTCTCCACTGAAACCCTACAAGCCAGAAGGGAGCAGGGACTCATCCTCAGCCTTCTGTAACAGCATAATGGCTGGTTAAATCTATGTTACACAAGGCTGTGTACACCTGGGTGAAACTGGAGAAATAACCATAAGCTAACATGACATCCCTACAGAATGGTCCTGTCCTCTGCTCTGTATCAGAACACAGTGCAGGGGCATCAGAGTGGCCCTCTCAGGATGAGTGGTAACCCAGCCTGGTGCTCGGAGATTTGTCACAAGTGTGAAGTGCGGGTGTAAAGGTGACATGAAAGTCTAAGGGGCTTTTGCCGAGTTGAATTTTGAACAAAGATGGTTCTGAAGGGCTAACACAGAGATGGATCTTAACTGGACCTGTCTACCAGAATGCCAAGAAGTTACCTGAGTCTCAGGATGCTCAGCTTGGAAGAGCTTTGGAGAAACAGACTGAGGCCCAGACGTGCTGAGTTGGGATGGAGTCAGGACCACCAAGTAGTCATGCCATCTTCAGCAAGAACCTTAAGCCTCTGGAATTTTGTATTAGTTTTTGATTTATCCAAGACACTTGAGTTGCAGGCAGAAAAGTCAGAGCCCGAGTCCCTTGGTTCTCAGCCTGCTGGTTGGAATCAGAATCTCTTGAGTGCACGCCAGGAGAACAGCAGTCTGCCTACTTCACTGGAATCCTGCATGCTGCGGGGCAGGGGGCCAGGATGGGCGCAGACCCAGGGGACAGTGTGAGGCTCCAAGTGTGTTAGAGTAGCTTCCCTGAGTGGGAC